GGGGGTGGGGGTTGAGGGTTGTATTTGTAAATTTACATCAGCCTCAGTTCTAGAAAGTAAATTACCTGCATATTGAGCTTTTATCCTCAGGGAGGCGTTACAGACCAAAGAGTGCTGCAGGTCAGAGTGAAGCAGTGTCTGAATAGAAAGACAGCCTGACATGTGTTTAAAATAAAAGTAAAGGCTGTCATTTGGATTTTATTACTACATAAACACATAACTTAAAACATCATATATGCAGCACACATTGAACAGCACTGACTGAATATTATTGAAAAAGACGACTTTCATGTGTCTGATTTGGTGGTTTGAATTTATTTATTTATCTGCATATTCATTTTTAACCACTTTCTTCCTGTGGCAGTTGATAGCGTAGAGTAGCGGTCGCGAGAGTTGAGGCTCGGGTGTGAAATTTATGGTTTTCAGAGATTTTATCGTGAAATTTTTGTCTTGGCTTAAAGGCCCTAAAGGAAAATATTGGCTGACATTAAACTGGTCCATGGTGCAAAAAAGGTTGGACACCGCTGGGGTTGAGTTCTAGATAAGGTATCAATATAGAATTATTTCAACTTGAAAACCAGAAATGGTCACATGTCAAAAGTTGGAAGGAGCAATGAACAAATAATTGTTTTGATTTTTTGATTTAAGTTAATAATCCAAATCTGTACGTATGACGAAGTTAAATGTCACAGACGTGACAGGAGAGGATCAAAACTATTAAATCAAGTTTTAAAAAGAGACTTTTTCATTTGATTACATTTTATATGATGGATTATGCAGAAAAAGTAGAATTGGGCTGAAAGATCTATTGCTTTATTACCTATTCAGGTTGTGTATCATGTTTTTTAAAAGTAACTAAGTAACAAATTAGTTTTGAAAATAAATAATCAGTAAAGTAACAGGATTACTTTACTTTTACTTTTGGAGAAGTAATCAGTAATTAGCCCATGTCTGTGTGGTAACAAATGGGTTTTTCAACAGCGACAATGCTACAGAACACAATGCCTGGAGGACGAGGGACTTCTTCCAGGAGAATAACATCACTCTCTTGGACCATCCTGCATGTTCCCCTGATCTAAATCCACTTGAGAACCTTTGGGGATGGATGGTGAAGGACTTTTACAAAAATGGACGGCAGTTCCTGACAGTAGATGCTCTTTGTGTTGCTGTCTTCACCACTTGGAGAAAGTCAAAGGAGCTTGCAAAGAAAAGCGTCTGGACTTCTTTAAGTTGCTTGAAGACGTTTCACCTCTCATCCAAGAAGCTTCTTCAGTTCTAAGGTCAAATGGTGGAGAGTCCCAGATATAAACCTAGTGGGAGTTTCCCCCCAAAGAGGGACAAAAGGACCCCTGATGATCCTCTAATCGCCTGAGCCAAGGTGTGAAACTGGGTGTGGGTCCCAATCAGCCAGAGTTTCGGGTGAGTTCATTGTGAAACCTGGCCCCACCTTATCATGCGAATTCCTGAGATCAGATGGCCCAGGATGTGAGTGGGCGTTAAGGCGTCTGGGGAGGGATCTCAAAACTGGATTATAGATGGCAGAGAGTTGGTGTCGTAAACCCCGCCTCTGTTCAAAGATGATCGCTCACAGTGGACATAGATGCTTCTTTCACTCCTCTTTCAAACCATCTGTCCTCTCTGTCCAAAATGTGAACATTTCAATCAATAAAGTATGCATTCTTATTATTACTCTTGTACAGTTTTGTATGCATGCCCTGTCAGTTTATGTTCTGGTGCTTGGATTGGTGGGTTGACTGCTTGAGTTTTCCTCTCTGATTAGTTGTTCATGGCAGACACATACAGGTTCACATTATGTAACAGCCACTGCAGGGTCCACAATTTCAATTTCTTTGCAATTTCACATTTCATTATAAAACGGATGCAGCAGACTTTCTTCTTACTGTGCAGTAAGAAAAGAAAACAGCTAGAAAACACTAAATACTATTTTAACACTATCACATAAAAAACGGATAAGAGGTAAGAGTCTTCTGATTGGATTGGAGATCTAGGTTCAACAATGTTAGGTGCCCAAAAAATTAGTTAAGGTGAATACTTGAATATACAGAACCACATTATTTTATTTTTTATTCCTGATGTACAGTGGTTAAGGTAGCTTGAAATCATTTTCATGTCTACGCCTGTTCCTCACTGAGAATCTTTAGGATGTGCTTGAGAACACTTCATGTAGTGGTCCAGTTTTCCCATCATCAGGATAAGATCTCTGTGAAAAATGACACAGCACAAGCTTCAATACAGTGTCACAGGGAAAATGTGCTGCTATTAAAGCATAAGGTAGTCCACAAAATATCACAGGGTATTTGTTTTGTTTTTTACAGAGCACTTTATTTTGATGAATGTTATTTACTTACACCACTCCATTTGCAAGTGTATTAATGTAAAAGCTGAATAGTCAATAGGCTATATAAAAAAATAAAGCATAATACAAACTTATAAACATTTCTTTAGATTTATCATTCCAAACAGCAACAACACAGAATGGACACTTTACATAGTTTGACAAAAATTGCATAAAGAGAGACTGGGTGTCGTGCAGACTTGTAAACGTCTCAGTGGGACTCCAGAGGAGCTGGGGGAGGTGCAGGAAGTTACAAAGGAAAATGAGGTCTGATCAGACTGCTGCACCCAACACCTGAACCGAGGTAAGCATCAGAAAGCAGACTGCTGGATGGGCATGATTTGTCAGTGGTCATTTGTATTGATTTTGTAGCTGCACCTCTTCATCTTCTTTCAGAAGTATTCATCAAATAACGGTTCGGTGTCTCTGATCTCTATCGGACAAAAAAAACAACAACACAGAAGTGTCTCTGTAAAGAACAAAGTTATTTCAGCCACTCTAGACTGAAACCTGAACGCTTGTGTTAACTGAATGACATCAAACTAGACTTGAAAAATGAAAACAATTAAAATAAATAAATAAAAAACAAGTGTTAGCGTTTACTGAGACAAAGTTGTATTTATAGCTTGTTTTTACTTCTGTGCTCTATTCCAGGCACTGCGTGCAACAAAATCACAGTTCTGACTCACTGTGAGGAATTGAACATGTGTCAGTGTGGATGGTGATAGTCTTTGAAAAACTAAACAAAATAGAAAGGATTAAAAGAGTCGTTTTACGGACACTGTGAGCAGATCCAAAATCTAATCTGGATAGGAAGAGCTGGGAAAAGACCAGAATCAGAATTGGATTTTGGTCTGAATTAATGACTCTTGTTCATATTCTTGCTGTGCAATTGGACTCTGATCCCTATGTGGTTTTCTGATCAGTTCTAAAGCCTCCAAGTGACCATTTTCAGCGAAAGATATATTGAGCGCCAAAGTTTTAAAAACTGACCCATTAAAATTTTTGTTTAACATAATTTAAATGATCGAATTGCATTCTGTGAACAAGTTCCTACTTGTAATGTTGAGACCACACGCAGTCTGGATTTTAAAATTCCCTTTAGACTACATTTAATCCCATTTTTGAATTTCAAAAGTAATTTAAGCCTCATTTTCACTCAGATACGTCCCATAGACATATACAGAAAAAGAATAGAAAAGCCCAGTATAGATATATATACACTAGATTATTATTTGGTGGTTCTGCTCTGCAACTCCAAACACAAATAACTCCCATGTAACAATCTAACAATAACTAAATTAGAATCCAGTAATTAAAAGCCAACTGAGATCATTAAACAGGGATCAAAGGGGGGGTTGGCGAGGCAGACAAAGTATTTCCCACCACTGTTTACAAACTACTTTGCAATGAGCAAGTTTCCTGCACTAAGTATTAAATAATATCAGTAACAATTAAAAATAGTAGCTATGGTGATTTTTTTATGATACAAAAGTGAGGACATTGTTTAATGACTGTAATGGTTTTATAATAATTCCCAACTGTTCCAGAATGTTCTTTCCATTTAAACTTTTAATAAAACTATATTTTAATGAATATGGCTGTTACGTTGTCATTTCTCCAAAAAAAGTGTTTTAAAATCCCCTAAAATTCACTCTCACTGCTCTCTGAAAGATTAATTAAGACACTGTAGCCTGTTCAACAATCAAAAACACTGGTGGTTAAATTGAACTCTAACAGTTAAAATTTATAACACTAAAATAAGTTCATCCTTCATTAATTCAACTGGGGCGATACCTATGCTAGTTGCAGTGGCGGTCCTAGCCTGTTTGGCGCCCCGGGCGAACACTCCCTCTGGCCTGTATTGCCTGCATCTTTTGCTCGTTTCTCTTCGCTTCTTTTCTATTATTTCTAAACTGAGCACCTGATGACTTTCAACTTTTCTTGTCCATCTTCCATTGGTTTTAATTTTGCCCTCCAGTATGAACACAAATCCCCCAACTCGAGGATCACCACAACATGACCTAACAGACCTACACCTTAGATCACAGATTCACTTTGTCTAAGGTTTATTTCTGGGATTTCACACAACCCAGGATTCAGATCATGAATACATGATGGGGCTTGGATTCACATCATTATGAATGAAATGTGCTCTATTTGGAAGCAGCCCCTCCCCTTTCGACGGGTTGTGTGTGAGACTTTAAATCATCAAACTATAAATTGTTATTGATCCCTTTACCCCGGGTCCTAGAGTGCATATTTATTTTCTTACTCTTCTTATATTTATTGTTTACTTAACTGGAGCCTCGTCGTCTCATCTCTCTATGTATATTGGACTGTATGCTAAATGGCCTGTATTTGTACAGCGCTTTACACATCTAGTCATCCACACATTCACACACACATTCACACACTGGTGATGGCAGCTACATTGTAGCCACAGCCACCCTGGGGCGCACTGACAGAGGCGAGGCTGCCGGACACTGGCGCCACCGGGCCCTCTGACCACCACCAGTAGGCAACGGGTGAAGTGTCTTGCCCAAGGACACAATGACTGAGACTGCCGGGGCTCGAACCGGCAACCTTCCGATTACAAGGTGACCTCCCAACTCTTGAGCCACGATCGTGTGGCTCACCTATGTAGCGGAGATGACAAAGTTTACTTTGACTTCAGCAGCAAGCCGGCGCACCGAGGGCTCTCGCGCTCACTTTTCATGTTTCGAAAAAACATCAGTGCAAATTATAAGTCTGTATCATGATGTCTGGTGTTTTCGTGTTTGTTGTTTTGTTTTTATTTTGTTTTATTTTGCGAGTTGGTTATTAGATGCCGCCCCGCCCTCTCCTCCCTGTTACTTTTACAGTTTAGAAATTTACTGTCTGCTGTGTCATCTATGGAACGCCAGGACAGCCATAATGTATTAATGAAATACACCATTAAATAATTATTTGAATGTGGCAATAATTAATTAAAATGTGAAATAAATAAATAATTCGTTAAATGTGTCAATAATTACTTAATTCAATGTGTTAATTTTTTTTATTATTTCAAATTTTAATTAATTATTGCCACATTTAATGAATTATTTAATGGTGTATTTAATTAATTCATTATGGCAGTCCTTGCGTTCCATAGTCATTATGATAGTTTTGTAAATGTAAAACCAGCAAAAAGGTTTTAGTGAAAACAAGTACAGCAGAGACCTCGGGGGGCAAATGTGCAGATCACCGTCTTCACATCAGTGAAGAAACATAATGAAGTGTCTGATTTTCAGTATTTTCACAGTAAAGGGGAAGTTGAGTGATGTCAAGAGCTGTAAGATGAAATAAGGATTGTGGGTTAATTTACCTTGTGACAATGCTTGGAGTTCATACTTTTGTGCCTGCAAAATAATTTTATGAATGAATAAAAAATGTATTTCTCACTGAAAAAAGAAATGACAGAATCTCTGTGCACTAATTATTGGCTCTTCATTGTGTTTCTGCACAGTGTTAGTGTTCAGCATATTCCTAATATGGATCCTATTTGCAAACTAGGAGGAAACACAAGTGTAAACGAATGTATTTTTCAATTTCTAGTTAACTTGCAACAAAATTACAAGTTCAACTTATTCATGGTCAGCTGAATCCAAACAAGAACTAGTTCCATCATTTTAGACCAGACTTGTCAAACTCTAGGCCCAATAACGGCAACATAATTTAATATGTCAATATTTCAGTTTGCATTTCTGTTTAAAACAGGGTTACCTTTGGTCTGTTCAATAATGTTCATCCTGTTTGGTCCAACACCTAGAGTATATTTTGAGTTCTGGCTCCTTCAGTGATTGAGTCTGACGCCCCTGACTGAGTCTGGCAGCTGTAACATCTGTATATAACAGAGCCTTTTACCTGCTGATGTGCTGCTTCTTGATGATGCTGTCCCCCTCTGCTGGAGCTCCCCTCACTGATCCAGTTGATCTGCTGGTTGGTTGCTTCTGGTTTTTGATGTTTTGCATTACTGATCATTTGTTGAGCAACATTTAAACAGCCGTCCCAGTCTTTCCTTTTTATGTTGCTCGTGATTTCTTTAGTCAGAGTTTCATTTGCTTCTTTCCTCAAAAGCTCCTCCAGAACTTTTTTCTCTTCTTCCAAAATCAGTTTGTAGTAAAAAGTTTTCTTGTTGCACCAACTGTATTTTTTTTTAAACCATTTTCTCCACCCACTCCAAGTCATGAAGAAAGCGACAACAGTCATGCTGAGGAGCAGAGAGTAAGCAGCAAGCTGAAAAAGAAGCAACAAACATGCAAAACATAACAGCATTAATGTGTCTGTATATTTATTATACTTTCATAAATTAAAAAAACAGAACAATAACATTACATGTGCACTGTGTGTGAAAAATAACAAAACATCCTCACCTTTGACTTCATTTGCAGCTCAGGTATTTGAGCTTTTTCATCAGCCGTGAGACTCTCAGGTTTGCAGAACAGCTTCCTCTTTTTTTCATCAGTGGTACAGCAACTATACCAGTCTGTGAAAAGCAACACAGCTACAATCCACAGCAGACTGATTAGAAATGCTCTGATAACGCGCTTGAGTACAAGGCATAAAAACGTGGATGGATGCTCCGCTGTGCTCCGAAATGTCTGGTCTATCAGGAGCACCAGGAAAAATACTAAAAAAACAGGCACGACCACCATTTCATTGCAATCAAAAGTGTGGCCTGAGCAAGCGCACATCTTGGCCTGCAGATACATAAATGCGAAGAAAATCCCGATGCCTGTGCCAGTGGTGCCGATTTTTCCACTACGGACATATTGCAGGAGTTTATTCAACATCTTGAGCAGTTCGGTGCCTGCTGAGGCTGCAGCTTCTGACCTGTAAAATTACAGACAAAGAAAAAGAAATATTTCCTGCTTTTCACACCAAGTATCACAGTCTCTTTGAAATTCAGCTTAATATCTCAGTCCTATAGCAGCTGTGAAGTGAGCAAGTCCTCCAGTCAAAGTGAAGATATGAGCTCTCTGCTCCCACCCTCACATAAGAACCACGAGTGCTGCTCCTACAGGTGGCAGGATGCAAACGCAACGTGACGTCATGAGAAGGAGTTTAAACAGCACTCTGTTCAAAACGTTTCCAAAGTCGTGTCAACAAATTTCATGTTTCCCAAACACTTTATACTAGGATGAGGTTGTGTGGCACGACAGGTTTTTTGATGAATGACTTGGAATGATGAATTCTATTCACAGTTTGAAACGTAGAGTGTTACAGATACAAAGTGAATTTATGTTATTTATGTCATGAGATGTTAAAACGTGTGGTTAACACAATTTAGTCACCACAGCCTGTGGAGTCTACTGTAAAGAGATGGCAACTCAACCAACTTTTTTATTCAGTGTTGAACAAAAAATGTCAAGCAAACATGAACAAGAGAGGTGAAGAAGAAAAAGAATGCAAGCAGGGTGGAGATGACTGCCAGGGGTGATTTGTGGCAGAACAAGTGAAAGATGGCAGTGAGACCAGCTGTGATGTTTGGCTTGGAGATGGTGTTACCGAGAAAAAGGCAGATCTGCAGGAGGCAGATTAATGCTACTGTACTAAATTTAACACAGTCAGTCACGTTTGTAGGTGCTGTTTGATTTGGCATCATCTCACCCTTTCTGGGGCAACCACAACAGCACAAGAAGACAAATGTTTCCTGTGTTCATGCAAATTATCATATTTTCTGTTAGCAGTGGTGCCCAGTCAATGGTTTTTGTTACAGCAAATGTTTGTAGGTCTGGTGAACCCACTGTGGCTTTGGTTTGTAAATCAATGTATTCTAAAAAATGCATGTAAAAATGTATAGAATAACTGAGACAAAGATCTCTAGTGTTTTGTGAACTTCTAAAATCATACTTCAAATTATGCTTGTGGTTTAATGTCCTTGAGACTTTGTGACTTCTGAAAAAAAGATATGAGAATGGGAGCACATGTTGTCCTAAAAATCTGTACTGTAAATAGAGCACCGATGGTGCCGAGAGATACAACATGTGCAAAATGAATGTCAGATAGCGGTTTCATAGGCACTCACAAACTCTGATACAGTCAGACATGCAGGATTTTGAACTGAGCACTGATGATAAGCTGGATGGTCTCTCTACTCTTTAGTCCAGAGCATGTGGCAAAATGAATTTCACATCACAATTCATCTTTCCACAGAAAAGCTTTCAACTTTGCACTTGTTCATTTCCTGACATTCTTTCTTTACTCTCATATTATTCTAGATTGTTTCCTCTAAATACCAGTCCATTTGTTACCATGTTCACACCATGTTACTTTATCTAGTCAAAACTCTGTTTTCATAAAACCTTTCTGATTCCTTTTCATGCGATGTGCCTTCATCTCTGTCACTGCATATATCTAGACCACTTCCTTTCTTTACATTGTTTAGTAGTTTCATTGTGTAACTTCAGAGTGCAATCTGCAAATAATTTATTACTCCATCCATCAATTCTCTACAGTTTATCTTTTTCAGGGTCCCCGGGGGGCTGGAAACTATGTCAGCTGTCTTAAGGTGAGAGACAGGGTACACCCTGGACAGGTCGCCAGTCTGTCGCAGTGCTAACACATATCATTCGCACTCACATTCACTCCTAACTAAGTGCATGTCTTTGGACGGTGGAAGGAAGTCAGGAGAATCCACACAAACACAAGGAGAACATGCAAACCCCACACAGAAAGGCCCCGGCCTGATGGTGGAATTGAACTCAGGACCTTCTTGCTGTGAGGCAACAGTGACGACCACTGTGCTTTATTGCTCAATAAATTAAAGGAAGTTCAATTATGTTCAGGTCTTTCAGATGATTTTTATTGGACTAACATTCATATGAATTCTTTTGTTCTTTTTTTCATTAAAAAATGACTTTTGTTGCTGGTTTGGTTAAATTTCATTTCTAAGGCTGGCACACAGCAGCTGGCTTAAAACAGATTTCACAGATACCATCTTGAGCCAACCACGCACAGGAAGAGGGTTATGTTTCCTGTTTTTGTGCCACGTGTGACAGGCACTATTAGCCCTTGTGTTGTGTTCATGGCTTTTGTTACTGAGGCATTGCATTTTTGGTTTTTAAATCAATCCAGCCATAAATATATATGCAAAATTACACAAAAATAACTGATACAAATGCCGCAGAGGAATAACCAATCACATGGAACATACCAAAGATTGTAGCCTGGTGCAGGGAACGCTTCCTGCAAATTGCCCTGCACTGTGTTTAATTTCTTCTATGGTTAGGGCTGATTTACACTTTTACCTGATGAGCTGCTGTGATGTATTTTATTGTGTTTCACTGGTGTATTTTCATTTAGTAACTTGTAGGTGTCATATTTTTTTTATTATAGTCAGAAAATGAATATTTATTTCTTATAAACAGTATAACAGTATTCTGTTTGTTTGCAGGCAGAGAACTGACTGCTGTATGTTCTGTGATAGTTTCAGCTTTCATTTGTTTGTTTTGCAAATTAATTGTTGAGATTCACATAGTGGTAGTTTTTCCTTTTTTGTTTCTAGTGCTGTGGTGGCTGCTACTGGCCACAGGCTTTATTGGTAAACTGGGAGTTCACTAACTTTTTGCTGTGATATGATCCGTTTGTATGTTTCTTTAATTTTGTGTTTAGGATTGTTTTTATAGTTTGATCACTAATACAATACTCTCAGTTTCCCAGCAGTGGTTACCTGGCTCCCAGCAGCAGAACTACAGTGGTCTTCTCATCCTCTAACAGTCTTTATGCATGCTCTGTCTCTAAACTTAACAGTAGCGCTACAAGGGAGTCCTTTATGTGAGCCAGTTTGAGTCAAAATGGGTACAGCAGAGACCTCCAGTGGCAACTGTGCAAACAGCATCTTCATGTCAGTATAGATACTTGTGGATAGGGATGGGTATTGATAAGATTTTAAATGTGAGATGTAAGCACCACAGATTTATTTAATTATTTGTGTCATGACGCTTTTCTTTCTTTTTCTTTTTTAACTGAACCTAGGAAGTAAACCCAGACGGCTTTAGGCAGATTTATGGAGTTTATTTACAACGAGCGATGTAAATATGAGTGAGCCGGGTGGCCAGGAACAAAAGAGAGCGCCGGACGTCCGAGCGGGTTTGATGTCCAAAGACAGACGATGATCATGGTACTTGCAAGAGGGCAGGCAGAGTCTACAGGTGAAAGGAAAGTTTGTGGTGCTGGATGAAGGGCTGGACTTGACCGGTGACTGGAAACTCCTCCACAGGTAAGAGTTTTCTGGCTACAAAGCTCCCCAGAGTGGAGGTAACGATCAAGCAGAGATCCATCACCATAGCGGGATCATAGCAGCCTCTGAATGAGACCTGCCCAAAGGCAGAGCCTGAAATGATCCCTCCCAGAGCCACCCAGAGGGAGAGGAGGGAAAGAACCGGCCAGCCTGGCCCAAACATGAAAATGTAGTTATTTAACTTTTTGTTTTATTTTGTCACTAGTTTTCACCTTTGTACTTTATTAGGTGGAGACTTCCCTTCATAAAAGACATGGACAAAGATCTGTCTACTTCCTGGAGAGGGTTCTTCACATAATTCTGAAGAAAAGACCTTGTGATTGTCTTCAGGGTCATTCTTCCAGGACTCCTTTATCGTACCGAGCACACCACAGTGTTCTTGTCTCTGATTAGTCATCTCTCTGATGGTTTCTGTTCACTTCACAGTCTAAGGATGACCTGACTGGATGCTTCAGGGGTTCAATATCTCGCCCAAAGATACAAACTTCGGGGATCAACCCCCTGACTTTCCACTTGGTAGACGACTCGCTCCACTTGAGCCACAGCCGCCCTCCTAAAAGCAGACACACATTTAAACCCCTCATTGATTCATGGTTATTATAATGACATATAATCAAGTTAAGCATCAAAACAGTAAAAACAATAATTTTTCTATTAGACACTAAAATCAACCATCTAAAGTCAGCTATCAGAAGCTAATAGAAGCTAACTCGAGCTGAGGCTACGCGATCTGTGTCATTCAGGGCGTCGTGAGGATGATTTAGGGCAAATAAAACTGAAATAAAAGCAGCTGAAATGAGTGAAGTCGGAGAGAGTTGGATGTGGTCTGTTAGCAGCAGACTCAGTGTTTCCACACCGAGCATGCTGAGCCTAAAATAACGAGAGGGGGGACTCGGGCTGGTCCGGGTTCAGGTTTAGGCTGGGGTTACTTCTGGGTCTGCAGCACAGGGTTGGCCCTGTAATCAGCTGACAGCTCTGGTTTCGCCTTCGATCTCTCTGTAATTTTCTTAATTGAAGCCACTTGAGGGGTCGAGCGCTCAGTTCATCCTCCTTTTTTTCCCTTTCTATGTTGCCTGCGTCCTGCTTCCTCTGTCCTTTCCTTTATTTGGTCTCCTATTTGGTTTCCTTTCAATATTTCTTTCTCTTTATTTTTCTTCTCTCCCCTGACTTGGTTTCATTTTCTTTCTTTTCCTATTATTTTGATTCTTAAGTGCATTCCTTTCCTATCATTCACTTTCTCCTTTCTATGTTTCTTCAGTCTTGCTTTGTTTACTTTTCTTTCCTTCCCTTTCCTTTCCTTTCCTTTCAATAGTAACTCGGGGTGAGAAAGAGGAGGAGAGTATATGGGTCAAAATAAAGTGATGATAAATGTTTTTGTTTTGTCGTTTTTGTTTGTTTTCCAATTTAAAAATGAAAATAAAGCTTGGGATAAAAAAAGTGACGATAAATGTTTAAATTAATGCTCATTTCCTTTTTTTTTATGTCAGTTGAACCAAAACTTTGTGAATTAAAAAAAAGAAGATAAACTCTCGTCTCCTGCATTTGTCTTTTTATTTCTCCACCAGGCTTGTTTTCGTTCTCTCGATCATTTTCTTCTCCCCCTCCCCCGTTCGACCCCCATCTCCCCCAAAACTCCCATTCTTCAGTGTAAATTGATGCTGATCACCCGTTAATCTTTTTAAGTTGCCGTGAAACAGCCAGCAGCATGCATGACAATGGTCCTCTCTGTGA